CAGTCAGTGTGTCTGTATGAACCCCTCTCTCTCAGTGCAGTGTTAATGTACTGGAGTGTCCAGTCAGTGTGTCTGTATGAACCCCTCTCTCTCTGTCTCTTAGTGCTCAGTGATGTGTGGTGTGGGGAAGAGGACACGTAATGTTCGCTGCGTCAGCACCCAGGGGGCAGTAGTGAGTGACAGGGAGTGTAACACAAGGCTCCGCCCCCCGGGGAGCCAGGACTGTGACATGGGCCCCTGTGTCCTCAGCTGGTACCACACTGACTGGAGCCACTCGGTAAGACACAGTCCGGTGCAGTACACCGGCACCACAGTACAGTTTACTGGAACCACACTGCAGTCCAGTGTATTACAGTAGTTTACTATAGTATAGTGTGTTTCTTTTCAGTGAACTAGAGCATATTGTATTACAGCATAGTGTTCTATAGTATAGTTCAGTGGTTGAAGTATAATGTATTACAGTGCAGTATAGTATAGTGTAGTATAGTGTTATAGCACAGAATTGTAAAGTATAGTGTATAATAGAACAGTGCTGTATAGTGTGTATTACAGTGCAGTGTAATTTAGAACAGTATTACAGCACAGTATTGTATAGTGTATTACAGAGTAGTGTTGTATAGTATAGTGTATTACTGAGCAGTGCTGTATAGTAGTGTATCATAGCACAGTATTGTAAAGTATAGTGTATTGCAGAGCAGTGCTGTATAGTATAGTGTATTACAGTGCAGAGCTGTATAGTGTGTTACAGAGCAGTGTTGTATAGTATAGTGTATTACTGAGCAGTGCTGTATAGTATAGTGTATTGTAAAGTATAGTGTATTACAAAGCAGTGTTGTATAGTAGAGTGTATTACAGAGCAGTGCTGTATAGAATAGTGCAGTGCAGTGCAGTGCAGAGTATTACAGCACAGTGCTGTGAAGTATTACAGTATTATATATCACTGTGTACTGTGCAGTAACTCTCCCTCCCGCTCTGTCTCAGTGTTCGGCTGGCTGTGGCCCAGGGGTGCAGCGCCGGTCAGTGGTGTGTCTGTCCAGCGGAGGGGGGGCTGCAGCCCCCGAGGGGGGCCAGACCTGCACTGGGGAGAGGCCAGCCGAGATGAGGGCCTGCAACGGAGGGCCCTGCCTGCCTGCCCTGCACTGGTACACGGGGCCCTGGGGTGAGGTGAGCAGGGGGCGCGGGTGTGCCTGTGTGTCTCTCCCAGCCCTCAGTGCCCCCGCGCTGTGATGTCGCTGTCTCTCTCTCTCTCTGTGTCGCAGTGCAGTGTAGCGTGTGGGAACGGGACCCAGCGCAGGGACATCATCTGTGTCCAGAGGCTGGGGAACGACATCAATGTGACCCACTCTAGGGATTGTGAGTCCCAGGAAAAGCCTCCCTCCATACAGAGCTGCAGTGCCGGGCCCTGCAAGCCACAGTGGTTCACCACTGACTGGAGCGCGGTGCGTACAGCCCCTCCTGTGATTGGCTGTCTCTCCCTCTGCCCTGCCTCTGATTGGCCGTTTCTCCTTCTCCCCGGTATCAACTTTCCTCTGATTGGCTTTTTATCCTGTGCCCTATGTCAGCCCTTCCTCTGATTGGCTGTCTTTCCTTCTGCCCTGTGTCAGCCCTTCCTCTGATTGGCTGTCTGTTCTTCTGCCCTCTGTCAGCCCTTCCTCTGATTGGCTGTTGACTCTTTCAGCCCTGTGTCAGCCCTTCCTCTGATTGGCT